CAAAGTGTTTTTGTGCACGGCATCTGAACGTCTTTATTGAGACTGAAATATTACTGAACGTTCCTCACCACAATGCCAGTATTAAGGCCTCAGAGAGTGAAAACAAAATATTTCTCTGTTGTACAAGAAGAGGTATTGTCTGCATAAAAAAGGAAATAATAAAAAAAAAATAAAAGAACCAAAAGATGATCTCTTTTTATAGGAAACTTTGTTGCTATTTCAATCACGAAAGGAAAAATCATTGTTTTGTTGCATTCTTTACGTTTAACTTATATTCATTTCTCTCTTTATGTATCAACATCTTTTTATAACTTTCCTTGCTTCTTTGTAATAGAAAAATGTAACATTGGGTAGCACTGCTAGTCAAGTCATCTTCCTTGGTTCAGCTGGCTTGGCATTATTCAAATTGCATTTTTTTCCCAGAATTAAACATGTTCAGTTATTGTCGGTAGATAAACGATGGAACATGACACTGTCAACCAAGGCATTTTGATTTTTCTTCCTAATAAAAGAAAAAAAAAAAAAAAACTTGTCATGCTTTGAGGTAATTCACTAGTTCAAATAAATGTCAAGCATTTTGCTGTCAGAATGTAGGCAATCATGGATCTCCACAACTTCCTATCCTTCATAGCTCTTAGTAAAGTTTGTATTTTTGCTGTCTCTCTTAATCCCTGTTCTGCCAACCATTTACACAAGCTCGTTAGGTAGGTTATGCACTGCTTTCCCCTGTTCCTCTTGTTTTCTTTATGTCCTTTGGGTATCAAATTCTCCAAACCATATTTCCTCATTATGTGACAGAGAAATTTCAACTATTTCTTTCTGATTCTAAGTATATGCATCCTTTTTGTTTCCATTTTTTCTTAAAACTTCATCATTGCTCATATAGTCAGTCCATTATATTCATCCACATTTTCATAGGCTCAAATCTCTTCTTGATTTTTGATTGTCCAGCATGCACTTCCATATAGGAAGATCACTATGACATAACAATTCAGTAATTCTTTTCTTAATTTCTATTGAAATTTTCCCATTTCTTAATACTTTGCTTACCTTTTGATTTCACTATCCCAATAAACTTTCACATTTCAGTAACACATTTTCCATCCTCTGTTAAAACACTTCCTAGATATTTAAATTTTTGTACTTGTTTGGTTTTTTGTATCTCCAATTAATAGGTCACATCCTGTGCTGTTCCTTGGGTACTGAAATTATTTCCCTGAGAAGCCACAAATGAACAAACTCGTAGTACTTCACCAGAAAATAAGATTTCTCGAACCTTCCATTAAAATAAAATTATTTCATATCCATATTCTTAAATTAAATAGAAATTGTTTGATGTTCAACATTCTTTTAATTACTATTTGTAATCATATCTGCAATTCTGCCAAACAATTAGAGGATAGTGCAAATAATTCTGTTAATAATTAAAATGTTTCATCTTAGAATTGGAGTTTCTTGAAATACAACAACGAATGGTTAAAATCATTTTTGTATAGCATAAGATGAGAAAAGTAATTTGCATTATCGACTTTTGGAACTACTATTAATTGCTATTGTCAGATTTTTGGTGTCCTGCCATGCAAAAGATATATTCTGATTGAAAGAAATTACAACTACGTACTACTACAACAAATACTAAAGCACTATGGTACCTAGACTTTTTTAATTTAAGGTAAGTACTAGACTGGTGTCAAGATCTCATCAATATACTATTGAGCTGGCTAGATGTAGCTGTAAGTTCTATGCTAACAGTTTCTTTTCTTGCACTTCTCACTTGTGAAACTCCCTTCTGGCTCCATGCTTTCCAGCCAACTTTAATCTGCAAAAATTTAAATACAATGTCAATCGATATCTATTGTCCTCCTGGTTAATCTTTTCTCTTTCTGCTCATTATTAATGTTTCTTTTCCTAATTCTTCCTCACTTTGTAATCCTTTATGTTTTAGGGGCTTTACTGCCGTGCATGGGGTGATACTGAATAAAAAAGGACAGAAAAAGAAATAAGAACAACTAGTTTTAAGTAAAAGAATAAAAATCTGTTAAATAAAACAAAAATAAAATTTTATAATTAAGAAATTTTTTAAAAAAAAATCAGAGTTTCAAAATTCATCTGAAAAAATCAGATTCATCCAGTGAAAAGTATACACTTTAGCAACAATGAAAAGTGTGTGAAGGTGCCTCCTGTGTATAGAATAAATAATATATATTAATATATTAATAATAGGAAGCAATTTTAAAAACAATCAGTACTGTCCTTATGCATCTGAAATGCACCACAACTTGATCTACTTATGACCTATAAGAAGAGGGTTCTAATCGCCCTTGTCAGACCTCATTCACCAAGTTTGTTTGCTTGGTTTCAATTAAGTTCATACAGGTCGTCTCACAGGAATTAATGAAAGTCTCCATAACTTTTCTACACACAATCAGAACTTAGGATTAAGGATTTACAAAAACTGAATAATTTATTCTCACACACTAAATAATCACGCAAAAAGTTATGGTATTATATACATGTTATGGGGACCTATCTTCATGGACAAAATAGACTCGTCTTATGACTATATTATGCCTTGCAAGAGGACTGTAGACAGTGAATGAGTTGACTACTCTACTTAGCCATCAGACTGACATGGGATACTTCTGTATTCGTTCTTTTTGTTAATAATATGTTTTCACTGAATTTCTGAGTTCAAGTTTTCTTTCGGACCTCTTCCGGGTTCACAACAATACACATACCTTTATAATTAATCCATGGAAACAATTGCAAACTTTATATATAAAATTTGTTTTTGCATCTAAAAACATCAATCTCCTTTTTCTTATATTAAGTCTATTTTCAGTATGTTTATTATAGTTGGAGAAGGAAGCATACTTTTATCTTGTGTCACTTTGGCCATTTTCTTGTCACAGTCAAGTTCAAGCCAACTACAGTAGTAAGGGGATGTATTTCTTCTATCTCTGGTTGATTTATCTCTCTGTTTAGTCTCATTTATCTACTACTTACCAGTTGAAGAATATTTTTTAGGGGAATACTCATTGACATTTTGGTATGGCACTATCATTCAATGCATTGTCCTAATAAGAATCACAGAAGGAGAATAAAAGAAACCTAATGTGGCAGTGAGATTAAAGGAGAGATAAGCTCTCAAAAAAAATCACTTAACATAAAAACTCTCTTCATCAGATAGATTAAAGGAGAGATAAGCTCTCACAATAGTCACTTAACATAAAAACTCTCTTCATCAGATAGATTAAAGGAGAGATAAGCTCTCACAATAGTCACTTAACATAAAAACTCTCTTCATCAGATAGATTAAAGGAGAGATAAGCTCTCACAATAGTCACTTAACATAAAACTCTCTTCATCAGATAGATTAAAGGAGAGATAAGCTCTCACAATAGTCACTTAACATAAAAACTCTCTTCATCAGATAGATTAAAGGAGAGATAAGCTCTCACAATAGTCACTTAACATAAAAACTCTCTTCATCAGATAGATTAAAGGAGAGATAAGCTCTCACAATAGTCACTTAACATAAAAACTCTCTTCATCAGATAGATTAAAGGAGAGATAAAGCTCTCACAATAGTCTTAACATAAAAAACTCTCTTCATCAGATAGATTAAAAGAGATAAGCTCTCAATAGTCACTTAACATAAAAACTCTCTTCATCAGATAGATTAAAGGAGAGATAAGCTCTCACAATAGTCACTTAACATAAAAAACTCTCTTCATCAGATAGATTAAAGGAGAGATAAGCTCTCACAATAGTCACTTAACATAAAAACTCTCTTCATCAGATAGATTAAAGGAGAGATAAGCTCTCACAATAGTCACTTAACATAAAAACTCTCTTCATCAGAAACGGGACTAAAAATGTTTTTTGTAAAACACCTCTACAATTTCCGGAATATAAACTTTGTTTTTACATTTTATCAGGTTTCTTCTTTTCCTTTTCTTTGGGAATGAGCTGAATATTTTTACAAGGCCAAATTTACACCCTCACAACCACAACTAAAAACATTATATAAACCAGACAGCATGATTTTTGACTTTCTGAACCATCATTGAATAAGAACAGGCTCTTATAGAGAGAACTGTAACATAGAAGTGTTATCCAATCATTTCCCATGACAGCCTGTACAAATAATCATTTGGCTGCAATTAATTCTGACAATTTTATGTCTATATTTTCTTTCTCTTTTACCATGAATATTTTCAAAGATTCCTTTTAAGAAATAACTTCTATGACTGGTTTAATGAACTAATTCTTCCTGCTAATTCTCCATTATTCAACAAACCGAGGTGTGTAAACTGTGCAAAATACAATATATCTTAACACTGTGAAGACGTGGAGGGGCAAGCTAAACATTTCCCTGTTCAAGTTGGTTGAAGAGGATACATAGGCAAGCAGTTGTGGAGATGGCTACTGTTCATTGGAATCAAGCAGAAAAATTAAGCATACCCTGATAGAATATCCAAGCAGAAAGTTGATCCATTTACTCTGTTTGAAAAGAGTAGATAGGTTTGCCCATCATGTGGTTCACACTCCTACCGGTCTTTTGAACAGGAGTAGAGTTTAAGGTTGGATTCCCTCTAAAGTCTTTACCTTCTCTTTCACTTCCTGTCCTTCTTGCATTTGGTGGCATTAACACTTTGCTTTGAGTGGCTCTTGGGCCTTGTACAGGGTGAACATCATTGTAAAAATTATGAAAGTTGGTTGACTGATTCATTCATTCATTTTCTATGCCTTATCAACTGTTTGCACGTAATTTAAAGCCAGAAAATATTTTTAGATCAGATTTTTTTTCAGATAAAATTGGTTTAGTGGTACAAGTCTTACTAATTAACCTATACCTGGGGAAGAAATGATGAATTCATAACTTTCCCAAGGGTATTTTGCATGTAAGGGAATATAATGAACCCAACAGGAATTGAAAGTCAGCTCTCCAAATAACAACTCTAAAACATTATCCATGACACCTGCACATCCAAACTTACAGGACCTAGTATTCCCAAGTGGTCACCCATCTAGTTACTGATCAGACTCACCACTGCTTAACTTCAGTGTTTTTATGAGAACCCATGTTTCAATGAGATATAACTGTAAGTTGATAAAAGAGAATGTTAAAAGCCATCCTGTGGTCCTAAGCCTGATGAAAGTTGGCTCGAAAAATGATCCCAGAAAGAATGGAAAGTAGTTGACAGACAGTAAACCAGTTGAATTACAGGATGAAGCTGTAAAAAAGGCCAGAGCTTCCACTAACTGCCAGATCCTCTCCTGCAGTCAATGTGAAAAAACATGCCACTGTAGGAAAAATTAAATAAAACCTCTGATATAAGCAATATTAACCATGCAAAGTCCTGGAACAAACATGGAAAACATTTCCTCATCTTCATTCATGAAGAAGAATGGTAATTATACCAATTAAGATATTTTTATAGATGTTGTCCACACTCCAAATTTTGTTATAGATGTAGTCCATGGCCCAAATGTTGTTATAGATGTAGTCCATGGCCCAAATGTTGTTATAGATGTGATCCATTGCCCAAATGTTGTTATATATGTAGTCCCACCAAATGTTATTGATGTAGTCCCTACAAATGTTGTTGTAGATGCAGACCTCCCACCAAAATAGAAAAAGAAATGAAATTGAATAATGCATAAATATTGTAACTGCAGTTAATAAAGTTCTTTTGCAAAATTGTATATTAAAAATGGCCAATTTTTACAAAATGCTAAAGATTGAAATTGGTCAGTAGAGTTTACAAAGAAAGAATTTAAATATCTATTATCTATATATAATTTAAGATTTGATAAAATTAACAAATTAAACTACATGGTAGGGTTTCATGTCAGTGAGTGAGGCCAGGTACACAGAAAAATTCTGTCAAGAGGCAGGCCCAGAAACAGAGCAAATTCTCTTTCAGTGACCCTTCTGATATCCAGTATATGGAACATTCCCATCCTGGCTATGATGATAGATTACATCCGGCAGCAAGGCCTATGATTGGGAAATTGGAGGTTTTAAGGTGTGTAGAACCACCTCTTAATTGCTGTTGTTCCTAAGTCCACCCTGACCCAGAGTGGTAGCACCTATTAGGGTCCCAGCTATAGGTAAATAGTGAACTCCCAAACAAAAACAGAATACCATAGAAGTATAAAAATAAGTTTTATAGTAAAAATACCTGCAAATCCTTTTTATATGAAAAAATATCAGCAATTCGTTTTTATATAAAAAATTACCAACAATGCATATTTATAATAAAATGACCAAAAATACATTTTATATGTATAACACTACAAAAGTATAAAAATAGATTTTTTAGAGCAAAAATACCAGCAATAGATTTTAAGAGAAAAAAGATTACCAAAGCTCTCAAGGAAAATTAAATTTCAGCATTAAATGACCCATAGGGAGTTGATATGCCATTAAAAAAACAAACCAACCAAAATGGAACATTCAAGAGGCTGCACTTGTAGTAACAAGCTGATCTCAGATTCTTTCTCTGATAGCTTATAAGCAAAGATAAGTTGTTACAGTCTTAATCAAGTGTATGTGTGCAAACATTAGAGTGAGATGAGCATGCCTACAAGTTGAACATCTATTAAAGGATGTCAGTTTGAAATAAATGTGTACTGCTGAAGTTAACTGTAACATAATATCATCACCTTTTAAAATTGGATTCAGAGTCAAATGTTTGATGTCAGATATCTGGATAATGTAGTTTTCTTCTGCAAATTCGAGAAAAGTTAAAACCTCTTATTGTTTGCTGGAAAGATTCATTTATACTCAGACGGAAGATCACAGAAATTTTCATTTGATATGTATGGGAAGGCTTCTGACTGTTTATAAAAAGGTTCTTAACTAATAACTTTTTTATATCTAATAAATGGAAGCATGTGTTAAGTCTATGGTGATTTACTAAGTGCTGCTTAGATATGGCACAAGGCAGAAAGTATGAGGAAACCAGTCAGGATCAAATTTACTATTAAGTCATAATTGATCTAGCTAGCTAACCATTACATCATTTTGAAGCGTCCATGTGTCAAGTCTGTGTGTAGAATATGATTTTTGTCATGAGTTGTCCATTATAGTGTGTGAAAGATGTATGACAAAATAGAAAGAGATTTCGTATGACATGGGCTTTAGGATTTCATTGGACTAAGTTTGTTTATATTGATGTGACTACATATGAACAGCAAAAGATACTGGGATTTTTAAAAATAATTTGTTTTGTAATATTTGTTATGTTTATATAATCTAGCCGATTTAATTTACATTCTTTTGGTTTTTGTTTCCATCACCTTTGCTATGACAAAATCTGTGAAAAATGGTAAAACATTGTAAGATGGCTGAGAGCATCATCATGCTGCCATGTCATGTGTTTTGGATCTTCCAAAACTAAAGCTTATAAAAACATACTTGTGGTCATCCATGACTCAAGACAGATAAAATTCTTTGTCTATTTTGTCAATAGAAAACAATCTTGTAAAGAAGATAGTTATAGAAAGTGCTATGTAAAGATTTGCAGAAAAGGCTAGAAAAAATGATTCAGCTAGATTAATGAATGTTTACTTTAGCTCTTATCAAATTGTATATTGTAATAAACTGATTTTCTACATTTTAAGTTTTTCTCCTTGTGAAAATTTAAAAAACTATATTTGTAAGGGTTCTGATATTCAGATTGCCTGGGGGTGCAAACAGTTATATGGCTGTCACAGATAACACTCTCAAATCAAAACCATGGAGGTGTCAATGGGAAATCTCTACAGCTCATTCCCAAGAAGACATGGCAATTAAAAAATAGTAAAGAAATGGAATCTGTAAAAAACCATGATCTTACATCCTGAAGATATATAGGATTTTGAAAAAGTCTTTGGGATATGATCCGTAAATGTCAGTAAAATGTGATGACACAGTTTTCTTTACTGTTTGTCAAAGTGTGAAAGAAAATGAATAATAAGTAGAGAAATTGTCACAGGTTTGGCTGGGGTTATCTTTGATCTTTATCCATTCTATGTATCAAGTCTGGAATTCAAACTTTATAAGTGTTGAATTTTTTTTTTTATCTGTTTCTTTAAATAAAATATGTGGATCAAAAGAAATGTTTTTATTAAAGTTTTGGAGTGTTTTGATTGGTTGTATAACCTTTTCTGAATGTCATGTGGTATGCTCCCAACTACATCCATACAGTTTTGAACTTTTGCTGTTGGCAGTTGGCTCTTTTGATCTGTGACTTCTTAGTCTTATTCAATATCTGTACTTTTGATTGGCCTAAAAGGGTTTCTGTTTTTGGAGCTGATAACAATACTCCTAAGTTAGAAGTGGGAGACAGAGGTGAAAGTAACTATGTTTCACATCATATATTTCTGCTTGTTCCTTAGTTAGCATGCACATTAACAATCTGACATTACCTGCAACACAAATGAGCCATTGCAAGGATAGACAGAAAAAAAGAGCTATCAAAAGTGTTGTTTGGTGTTAGGGTAAGGAAGGAAAAAGAACAAAAGAAAAAAAAAGGGAAGCTAAAGGAGATGATAATTTTTTTTTAAGCATTACGCCCCGAGCAAGGCATGAAGCCACTAGGATGCAGGGGGTTGCATAAGATTTGGAGCGAGAGCAAATAGGAGTGATAGAAGAAAGGATGAGGAGAGGGATAGTGGATAGATCAAGGTAACTGGAGATGTCGAATGACATTACATTTGAATATTTGGAGATTATAGCTCACAGGGAAACAGTAACAGGGAAGTGTTTTCCACAGGCGAGAGGTGTGAGATATGAAGCTATTGGAGTAGAAGAGATGGCTACATTTAAAAGTTTCTACAGTGAAAGGGTGAGAGTGGGATGCCAGCCTTGTAGGGCGCTTGAATTCATGAAGTCTGGGAACCAGTTAAAGCAGCTTATCGGAGCAATTGCCATGAAAGTATTTTAAAAAGGACAGAGAGAGGTGACGGTGTGTCTGTGAGAGAGTGACTGTAGACGAGATGCCAGATCAGGGCCAATTATATTACATATCCGTCTTTGGATCTTGTCAAGAACTCCAAGGTAAACAGAAGGTGCACCAGACCATATATGGCAGCAATACTCCATGCTAGGGGGAACGGTTGATTTGTAGATTTGAAGGATCGATTCCGGGGAGAAAAATTTCCTGGTGCAACACAGAGAGCCAACTTTCCTCACGGTGGACGAAACAATTGTCTCAATGTATTTGTTCCATCTCAGGTCAGCAGTCAACGTGAGACGGAGCAGACGCAGAGAGTTGCTCTCAAGAAGTTGACTATCAGACATTCTAATAATGGGGGGGTGCAGGGAAGGATCTCTATGGTGATTAATAGAGAGTAGTTTAGTTTTTGAGGCGTTAAAGTTGACCAGTCAAAATGGAAAAATTTACCAATTTCAAATTTTTTCATTTGTATCCTCTTACATTTTTAAATAATGACCTATATTCATATACATGATTCTTATCACAATATTTTGTTAAAGTTGTTAAGCTCAAATATTTAACAATGCAGTGGGGGAATTTCCACAAGTATTTTGTAATTGTGGAACTCACAAAGTGATTATTCAATCATTAAGTTAAAAATTAAGATTCATCAGAACATTCAAATAGGAAAAAAATTAAATTGTCACAGGATTTGCTAATTATTAGAAATCTTTCTGCCCGACTAACTACCACATAGTAAATGCAAAGACCTGATTAAAAAATAGAGAAATATCTGCCCTTACAAACTAGTACACAAACTTATAGCTTTATCAATAAGTTGTTTCTTTCTTATGTTCTAAAACTTTTGTGTGTTATGGAAGAGGAATTGTTTCTTTTTCCTATTTTATTTTAATTTGACACTTTTTGATCTTATGGTCAGACAAGGTCATTCTAATTTCCTTCAATTCCATCTTAGCCATTTTCCTCTCTGACTCAGTTATCTCTATCTACCCACCTCTATATGTTGCTTGATAAAACTTAATTATCTGCCCTTGACTTGGCTATAATTTCACTATATACAGAAATGTAATCCAGTGTATTAAATTTCATCATTGTCTTCTTTTAACAGGCATTCAAAATAGACCTTTCATTCACATCAAGTCAGTAT